AGCAGCAGTAGCCTAGCTAGTGAGCCTAAACCACTTGAAGCAAACCCTAGGTTTAAACTTTAGCCAGCAGACCCTAAACCCTAAGGACAGCCGGACCGCCCTAAACCCCAAAACCCTAAACCTTAAACCCTAAGCCCTGAACCCTAAACCCTAAACTCTGCAGACCCTCAACCCTAAGTTGTAGGCAGGGTCTAGCTCGAGCCATGGCGAGCCTCAATAAGGCGGTGATGTCCTGCAGCCTGAGCAAGGCGGTGTTTTTTTTCTTGCTCTGCCTATGCCAGCCAGAAATGGCAAACACCTTGCAATGGTGGCGATGCCGGTACCACATGTACCAGAAGGCATGGGTGGTAAAGGAGAGTACAGGCGAAATGAGGCAGCTCGAAAAGAGCGAAGTGGAGCTGCTCCATGAGCAGATGGCACGGCAGCCAGAAATGGCACAATACCTTTTGACCCTCGATTGGTCAGACGGGGCTTTCGAGTGCCCCTACTGGAGCAAGGGCATGCAAAGCTGGGTCGCTCAGCCCAATGATGTCAGGGACAAGCCTGCGAAGGCTTTGTTGGGCCGCAACAAGGAGGCGAAAAAGGAGTGGAACTCGGAGGAGTACACCTACAACTACTCCTACAACGACAGTTCCACGGAGCCCGAACAGCAGCAGAAGCGGCCAAAAACTATGTTGAAGGAAAACTGCAGGAGCCAGAAGTGGCGAGACAGCTGGACGGAGGATGGCGACCTGCAGAGGGAGTCGCAGGAAGAGTGGTGGGGCAGCCAGGGATGGCAACCTAGCAGCAGCAGCTGGGAGGCATGGTCATCCTCCAGCTGGGACAGCCAGCAATGGCAGGACGACCAGTGGACAAACAGCCAGCGGAACAGCCAGGGATGGCACAACGACTACGGCCAGGAATGGCAGGACACCGAGGAAAGGAATTGGTGGAGCCAGCAATGGCAAGACAAGCAGGACAAGGACGTCTCCGATTCGGAGGGGTCCTTCGACCGCTATGCCTCCCGCGGCTATCAGTCAACGTGCAAGCGGTTGGAGCGGCGAAAGCTGCAAAGGGCTGGGCAGCCTGTCCCACCCGAGCTGCAGCCCGTAAAGGTGCAAATGAGCAAGGAGGTCAATGACAAGCGAAAGTACCTCCAATTTCAATTGGACGTGCTTTCAAAAAAGCTCGAAGAGAGCGACTGCAAAGGAGAAAAAGAGGAACTGTGGGACCAAATCCTGCAAAGGAAAAAGGAACTGAAGGAATTGTTACAGCCTGAGAAAGGCAAAGGCAAGGGCCAAAACCAGCAGCCTGAGAAAGACAAAGGCAAAGTCAAGCCAGAGCCTGGGAAAGGCGAGCCTGGCAAAGGCAAGCCTAGCAAGCCTAAGCCAGAGCCTGGGAAAGGCAAGCCTGGGACAGGCCAGCAGTCACAGCCTGGGCAAGGCAATGTCAAGCCAGAGCCGCGGGCCCCGGGCGGCAAAGCCAAAAGCAAAGGCAAGCCGAAGCCTGCAGAAGGCGACAACACCCAACCGGAGCCAGCAGATGGCAGTGGGCCGGCCCAGGCCGAGGCACCACCGCCGCCTCTGCCGCCCATAGAGGAAAAGCCTGAGGAAGGCGACGACAAGCCTGACAAGGGCAAAAAAGACAAAGGCGTCAAAGAAGAGCCGGACTATGCAGCCTGAGAAGGCAAAACAAAAGCCAGCGATGGCAAAGACGGAGCTCCTCGCAGCTAGCGAGCCAAAAAGTGGGCCAAGCAGGGGTGTTTGGGGTTTCGGGGTTTGGGGGTAGAAGGGCCCTAGGCTTCAGGGGTTTAAGGGTTCGAGAGTTTGGGGTTTAGGGGGCTTGGGAGTTGAGGCCTTATAAGGGTTTAGGGGGCGTTTAGGGGTTGGTGGTTTAGGCCAGGTTATGGGGAAGGGTAGGGTTCGGAAGGGTTTCAGGGTTTAGGGTTGAGGGCTTCGGGCTTAGGGTGAGGTTTAGAGGTTAACCCTAAACCCTCAACCCTCAACCCACAACCCTAAACCCTAAACCCTAAACCCTTACTCCACCCTGCACCTTAAACCCCAGAGCCCTTAGGCCCCTAAACCCTAAAACCTAAACCCTAAACCCTAAACCCTACACCCTAAACCCAAAACCCCAAACCCTAAACCCTAAACCTTCAACCCTGAACCCTAAACCCTAAACCCTAAACCCGTACTCCACCCTGCACCTTAAACCCCAGAGCCCTTAGGCCCACCAACCCTAAAATCTAAACCCTAAACCCTAAACCCTAAACCCAAAACCCAAAACCCTAAACCCTAAACCCTTACTCCACCCTGCACCTTAAACCCTAGAGCCCTTAGGCCCACCAGCCCTAAAACCTCAACCCTCAACCCTCAACCCTAAACCCTAAACCCGAAACCCTTACTCCACCCTGCACCTTAAACCCCAGAGCCCTTGGGCCCACCAGCCCTAAAACCTCAACCCTCAACCCTCAACCCTCAACTCTCAACCCTAAACCCTAAACCCTTACTCCACCCTGCACCTTAAACCCCAGAGCCCTTAGGCCCACCACTCACCACCACCACCACTCAACCACTCACCACTCACTCACACTCGCCACTCGCCACTCGCCACTCGCCACTCGCCACTCGCCACTCACCACTCACCACTGACCACCACCACCCCACCCCACCCCACCCCGCCACCCTTCCCCTCTGGAATTTCTAGACCTGGAAAATCCGGCGACCGGAAAAAAAGTACGAATTTCGTACTCTTTGTACGAACCCAAATGTTCGTACAAAAAGTACGAAAGATCATAATTAAATTGGAAAGAGGATTCGTACAAAAAGTACGAATTTCAAAAGTACGAAATTCGTACTTTTTGTACGAATTTTTCGGCTGGTGCTCCCGTGCAGCCTGCCAGGCATCCCATCCAGCACCAGCTACAAAAAACACCACCCCCCTACCCCACCGTCCTGCCCTCAACCCAACCACACCCGGCACCCCAACATCCCACAACGTCCACCACCGCCCCACCCCAGCCCACCCCACCCCACCCCACCCCACCCCCGATTCGCCAGCCCACCCCGCCCCACCCCACCCCACCCACCCCACCACCCCCCGCCCCATGACCCCACTACCCCACTACCACCACCCACCACGACCCACCACCACCAACCAGCACCACCCACCACCAGCCAAGCACCACCAAGCACCACCAGCCACCACCAAGCACCACCAAGCACCACCAGTAGCCTGCCCAGAGAACCCTACCTTAAACCCTTAGAGCCGAAACCCTATCCCCCTAAAACCGAAACCTTAAGCCTAAACCAGCACCCTGGAGTACCCGAAATCCTAAAAAAAAATGTAATGTGTGTTTAGGCTCAAGGAAGAGCCAAAAAAAAATAGGCTGAACAAGCCAAACAGCATGCACAGCACAGCTCCAAAAAAGCACAGCACAGCTCACTGGCACTCGGTAGGCTGAAGAAGCCAAGCTTAGCTTAAGCGAGTTTTAGCTGCCATGGGCTCGAAGAAGCGGCCTGCTGCAGCTGTGAAGCAGGAGCCAGAGACCCCGTCAAAGAAACCGAAGCCTGCAAAGGCAGCCTCTCCTATTCTGGGAAGCCCGCCAGCACAGCCTGCAAAGGCAGCAAGCCCGAAAGCACAGCCTGCAAAGGCAACCGGAGCACCGCCAGCAGAGGCAGCGACCGGGGCACCAGTGCCAAAGGCGTTGCCTCCACCCAGCCAAAAGGCATGGAAGGACATGAGATACCAGTTGAGCTGCCTGAGCAAGGCAGGAAAGGACAAAGGGATGCAGAAGCGGTTTGCTGGCTGCAAAACCCAGGCCGAAAAGTGCCAGTTCTATTATGAAGTGTTCTTGTTGGACCCTGACGTCAGCACGAAAGAAGTGCATAAGGAAAGCTTGCAAAAGCACAGCAGCCTGCAAAGGCAAGTCGAAGGCTGGATGACAGAATGGGAGGTGGGCAAGCTCGAGGGAGCAGATCCCTCGCTTCCCAACTTTGAAAGCCTGTGCAAGGCAGCAGTGGCGGGCCTTCCGAGCAGGCCTCATGAGGTGGAAGCCTGGGCCAGCCAGGGACTGAAGCAGTACTGGTACAGCAAGCAATTGCACAAGGAAACTTTGCAAAAGAACAGCTCGCAGACAAAGGCGAAGGAGTACGTGGGCCAGCTCGAAAATGAGCCTTTCCGTCAAGTGGAGGAAGCTTTGAAGGTGGCAGGCGGCCCTCAGACCTTGATGCTGGGAAACAAGGCTGAGAAGGCAGAAGAGAAGCCCTCGGCCTCAAACGAGGGAAAGGAAAGGGACCAGCCTGAGGAAGGCAGCTTGTACAGGAAGGCGGTGCAAAACTTCAGAAAGGCAGCGAATGCCTACAGCACAGCCAGCAACAAAGTCACGACTTTGCTGGCAAGGCTGGACAAGGCACCCGAAGAAATCAAGAAAGACCCGCAGTTTGCAGTCTCGAGGCTCGCTTTGGCGGATCTGGAGACAAGCAGCTCGAAAGAGCGAGGTGTGTGGAATGCTGCCTTGGCCGCTTACCCGGCCACCTTGGAGGCGGGGGCCGACGAGGAGGCAAAGGTGGAGGAGTTGAAGCTCGAAAAGAGCAACTGCGACAAGGCTCTGAAAGAGCTGAACAAGGCACTTGCCCCCACCAAAGTGTGGGCAAAGGACCGCCTGGAGTAGTATAGCTCGCAAAGAGCATAACAAGCACGACTGCTGGCTTTCGGCCCCGAACAAAAGCAAGTGCATTGCAAGGGTTCTTCAGCTTCTGTGCAGCATGCACTGTCTGCTTTGCTTCAGCTGTCTAGCTCCCGCAGGTTCGCACAGGTCCTCAAACCCGAAGCCAGCAAGGGCAAAACAGAAAACTCCAAACTTCCACTTTCCCTTAAGCAGCCTTAAGGGGCTCCTAGCCCTAAACCTAGCACCCTGAACCCTTAAACCCCTAAACCACCTTTAAAAGACCCTTAGAAAACAGAATAGTTCAAAAAGACTTCAGCTGGGAATTTAATGGTACAAAGTATAGGCCTGAGCCATGGCGAAACGAAGCCTGCAGCAGGCAGCTCCCGCGGTTTCAAGCAAGAAGCCGAAGCTAGAGAAGGGAGACAGCAGCTGCTGCAGCGAGGAGAAGGGAAAGCCTGAGAGAGGCAAAGAACGGGAACTTCAAGCCCTGGCCGAGGAGTTGCAGAGCCTGTACACAGGCAATGCTGTGCCAGCTGTGAAAGCAGCAAAGGTTTTCAAAAAAGCCCATGTGGCGGGTTTGAACCTCAAGTCGCCTTTTGAGAGGAGTCTGAAACTGCAGCCTGCAGAAGGCGACGGCGAGCTGAAGCCTGCAGAGGGCAGGAATGCAGCCAGAACGTGGCATAGGTGGATGAGGAAAAAGAGCTCCTGGCCGGAGCTCTACTGGCTTCTGTTCCTTTCCTTGACCTTCGGACGAAAAAAGTGAGGCACGAGAAGCTGCCTTTCCTCCTTCCCCACGAATGGCTGTCGAATTACTTTTTGCAGCCAGGGGCAGTACAGGAGGCGCTGCCGCCAAAGGACAGCTCGTTAGGGCAGCAGCTTCAGAGGGTTAAGGAAGCTTGGGACAACCGGGAGCCTAAGGAAGGCAGGGAGCCTGAGCAAGGCAAACCTATGGTGCCCTTGGGCCTGCATGGTGACGGAGTGCCTGTGCAAGGCAGGATGAACCAGTCGACAGCCGACTTCATCACCGTCAACTTGCTGGCCAGCAACACATTTGCATCGATGCGGGTTCCTATCACATGTGTGGAGTCCCGTTTCCACGCAGGTAGCGAGACCGCAGAAGCTGTGCATTCAGTCATTGCATGGTCTTTGCAGAGCCTGGGTGAAGGCATATACCCCCACTGCCGACACGACGGGGGAAGCCTGGACAAGGCAAGAAAACAGAAAGCGGGGAAACCGATGCCAGCCAGAGGTGGCCTCGTGCAGCTTCGTGGAGACTGGGACTGGAACTGCAAGTGGTTCGGCTGTCCCCAATGGAATGAAAAGAATGGCATGTGTTGGCTTTGTAAAGCTAAGCCTGAGGAATGGCGGGGAATGTCTGCAGAAGACCGAAAGGCCAGCAGCCTGAATAAGGCAGAGTTTTTGGAGTGTCTGGAAAGGCGGGGTAAGCACGTCTCGCCTTTGCTAATGCTGCCGGGAGTCTGCAACAAGACAATAAAGCCTGACTGGATGCATGTGGTCGATGAAGGCTGTGCCGCCCATGCAGCAGGCATGGTGCTGCAGGAGCTGCTGCGATTCACCCCAGACAGAGGTGTCGACAGCAAAGCTCGGCGGCTTTGGGAGGAGATACAGAGCCTGTACAAGGCAAAAGCTGTGCCAGCCTCCAGAAGGCTGTCGAAGCTCACGGCAAAGGATATTTGCAAGCCTGGAAAGGCACCGCAGCTAGCTGCGAAGGCAGCAGAGTGCAGATACTTCTGCCAGGACATCCTGCTGGATCTCGTGGACAGCAAGGGATTGCATATGCTCGGTCCACACGAGCGAGCCGTCCACAACGTGGCCAGGTATCTAGCCCGAATGTATGGGCATATGGAAAACTTCGACAGCAAGAAATTGCAAAAGTACGGCGAAAAGTTTATCAGCCAGTATATGGCATTGGAGGCCGAGGCCTTGCATGAGGAAGACAACCTCACATGGCACTCCAAACCCAAGATCCATTTCTTGGGGCACATTTTGGACGAAGCCCGAGAGGGCATGCGCCCCAAGGACTCTTGGAACTACCGTGACGAGACGGAAGGCTATCAGTTTCAGAAGCTGTGGTTTCGCCGAGGTGGCAGGACAACAAAGGCCGAAAAGGTCCTCCTCAAGTGGGCCCACGAGCAGCCGTTTTTGAGCTTGAAAGAAGCGCAAAAGTGAAAGCTCGGGAGAGCAATATAGCTCGAATAGAGCAGCCAGCTGGCAAGCACCTGCAGCCACAAGTGCTGGTGACACGGCTTCGTCGGTGCCTCGAAAAACGTCGAAGCTGAGAGTTTAGGGTTGATATATATATATATATGTATATATATATATGTATATATATATATATATATATGCACGCAATATATATATATATATATGTATATATATATATATATATAGAGCTCACATAACCATGCATTTCGCCCCCCGGGAAGCTCATTCTAGAAGCTCTTTTTGGAAGCTCCATTTTGGAGCTTCTGGTTTCAAGAAGCGCTTCTTGGAATTTCAAGAAGCGCTTCTGGGAAGCTAAATTCGGAGCTTCTGGCCTTCAAACCCCAGAAGCTTAAAACGGAGCTGCCAGCTCCAAAATGGAGCTTCCCAAATCAGCTTCCCAAAACGGAGCTTCTCGGAAGATCTGGGAATTGGCAAAACAGCTTGGGCATCTAGGGCTGGGCAAAGTGCCCCCAAGGCGATTCTCGGTTCCGATCGAGTTCGTGGCAGCGGCTGCATTGATGGCGGTCGTGCCGATCGGAATCAGGCTCGTCAGTGTTCTGGGCGCACACTAGGCCAAATGGGCAAAAGGGCTGTGTGCTACAGGGCCTGGCACAGCGTAAGCGCTGGTTGTGGTCAGCGAGGCGGAAAGTGTCTGGAAGGCAGACGCTAGGCACGATGGTGCATCCACGATAGCGCCGATCGGGAGGCTCGGGGATGCATAGGCGTGGGCATGCGGGCAGCCTGTCTGCGGTAGGCAGTGCCCCAAAGGAGAAGGGCCTGCGAGCGGGGTCACGGTGGCTCCTGGGCGTCTTCTGTGTCCGAGTGGAGGCCGAGGAGGTCGGTATCACCGTCAGGCAGGCCCTCATCGGCGGATTGTTGGCCGGGCGCCGGGTCGTCGGTGGGCTCCGCGGGTTGGAAAAAGGGTATGGGCCTGAGAAAACTGAGAAGGCCTCCTGATCCAGCATGAATCTCGACCCAATGATGCCCCGGGCTGCTTGGGACCTGATCTGGTCGTAGTCGAGGTGGTGGATCATGATGGCGTTGTTGGCGTCCCTGACTATGCATTCTCGGCCGTTTTCAAAACACGACATGGGCAGGGGCGGTTGCTGACCAGGTTGGTCGGCCGAGACTGCCTCTGCAGGCTGAGGCAGGGAGGGGTCCTTGGGCGATGGGCCCTTGTACGTGAACCAGATGTGCACCAGTCCACCTCTTTGGCACCTCGCAGGGGCTGGCCGAGGCCGTAGAAGTGGTACCACGTACGGCCTTCGAATACCATCATGGGCAGATGGTAGGCTTCGTGGGGCCCAGGCTGTGAGGGCTCTGTAGGCTTGGCTTTGACGGGTTTTTTTTTGGGCTGGGCGGGAGGCTCTGGCTCCGTCTGGGTCAGGTCAATGGGCTCCTCGGCTTCTTCGAGGTCTTCCAGGTCCGGATCAGGCAAGGTGCTGGGTCCGGCGTAGTAGGCGGCGCAGGATTCGTGGCTTTTTCAGGTCGGCCGATGCGTCGGCAGGTGGCTTGCCCCCTGGCGCCCTAGGCAAGCAAAGGAGGCAACTCCGGGCCCGTGGCAGGCGTCTGAGGCATGGAGTGGGCGATGTGCTCGAGCAGCTCTTGGGCAGGCGTCCGTCGGCAAAGGCCTTGCGGACGTGATTGGCGGTCCATAGGCAGGACGTGGCTGGATCCACGAAGCTCCAATCACGGCGGTGGGCTTCTGGGCTGTTCCCTTGTGCAGGGATGGGCGCAGATTGCGGCGCGGAGGCCACCAAGCCAAGGCGGCGGCTTTGCAGTCTTGAAGCTCCTCACCTTGCTGAGGCGTCAGCAGGGCAGCGGCAGGCTGGGCAGGCTGCCCCTCGGGGACAGAGTCCCCCACGGTGGAGGCTGGGGCAGGCTCCACTGGGCATGACGCCGAGTCGGCGGGAGGCACGGCAGGCGTGGGCTGGCCGGCAGGCGTAGCTTGTGCGGCCAGCCCACCCATCCAGCTGTGCCCAGAGTGCGGCAAACTGGGCAAGGGCAGAGTCCGGTGTGTTGGCCATGGCGGCTGGGACACAAGGAGGGGCACGACTGAAAGGCTGAAGGCTTGAGGGGATCGCTGACAAAGGCAAAAAAGGAAGAGTCTCCCAATGGCATGCATGCGGCATGCAAGGCAGCGAACTAACTGCGCAGCACTCGGCCTCGGAAAAGGCTCGGGCTGGGTCGGCGGTCATGTACCTGGACAACGCAGGGACACGGGGCATGACGCACACACGCTCACAAAGGTGGGCACGAGGGTGTGTAGGCTTGAAGGCGGCCTGTCCAAACAATCCCTGGGGCCAACTAGTCGTGAGTGCAAACTGATCCAGGCAGACTATAAGCTCCGGGCCAAGGAGACCATGTCCTGGTAGGCGAGGTAGACCACGTACCTGGCAGAGAGGGGTTTGGGCGGGCTTAGGGGTTCAACAGCGAGAGCAACAAGAGGGCTGGGGCACCGATCTGTCTGCGGCGGCCTGTGCAGTCCGGCGGCTGCAGGCTGGGCTAGCAATCCGAGGCGGATGTGCTGGAGCCAATCTCGGGCTCTGAAGAGGAGCGGCTGGGCGGCATGGGCAGCCGAGCAAGGTACGGCAGTCCACCAGTCAATGGCTTGCAAATGGTGCTGTGAGGCAGGGAAAAGGTCCAGAGGTTGGAGAGGATGTGGCTGAGGGAGGCCAGGCAACGCCAACGCACGAGTGGTGGAAGCAGGGCCGCGACAGGCAGGCCGTGCAGCGCGAAGACATGGGCATGTGTGCGCTGCGTGGGCGACATGTGCAATGAGCATTGTCTGCGGCATCGGGCGTTTCGGTACCGTGTGCAAAAGGTGCGCAAAGGCGGTGTGAAGGGCGTGTCGACCCCGTGGCGCGGCCCGGCAGGCAGGGGGGGCAGGATCTGGGCAGCATTGCTCAGTAGGTGCTGAGGCGGAGGGGCCTTAGGCTGAGGTGTGGGCAAAGTGGGCTGCATGGGGGCGGGCGCTAGGCTGACCCGTGAAAGGGCATGGCTGTGAAAGAACTCGCGGGCGGACGAGGCTGTCGGGTCTGGTGCTGTGTCGCTACTGTCTTCCGTGCAGCTCTACGGATCCGTGTTCCATGGGCACTCTGAGTATTCTGGGCTTGCCATGGGCGAGTAGGCAGCGAGTGGTCCGAGGAGAGACTGGAGCCAAAAGGAGCTGCCGGAACATCACCTGGGCGGGATTGTTAGGAGGGGCTTGAGGCAGTTCGGGTTTCTGGGCAAGGGAGGCTTAGGGTGAGGTCTCTGGCGGGCGTGTTGGCATTGGCCCACAAATTTGCAGGCTGAGACCAGGCGTCGAGAAGGTCCCTTAGTCGGGTCTGGGCTAAAGGGCGGCTCGGGAAGGGCATTAGGGTTAAACCCAGCTGCAAGGTGCACGTGGCAAGGCGGTGCCTAAGTCGCTCGGCGTGGCTGCCAGAGCAAGGCTGGGCACGGCTGTCACCGAGTTGCTGTATCAAGCGGAGTCGTGGGCGTAGAGCAAGTCGGGCATCCAGTTGGAGCAAGCTCAGTAAGGGTCCCTGTGCTGTGGGGACATTCCAAAGAAGGCGGCTCGTGGGCCGTGAGCAGGGCTGTCAGTATGCTCTGTTTGAGTCCCTATGCTGTGGGGACAGTCCAAAGAAGACGGCTCGTGGGCCGTAGGCAGGGCTGTCACTGTAGGCGTCTTCTTCTGAGGCACAGGCAGGCTTCCTGTGTGGCTGCAAGGCTCGGCGCAAGGCTCGGTGAAGATGTCCGCTGCGAAGAGGTCGGGCATCCAGTGGGAGCGCAAAACTGGGGCCAGCCCCTCAAGCAGAAAATGTGCACGATTTTTGGCCCCGGCGGGCCAGAGGGCGTGTTGAGCGGCAGCTAGTGAGTGCCGTCATAGGGCGATGCGCTTTGATGTCATTGGGCCGGCCAGGGCCGAAGATGGTGGCACTGTGAGCTGTCCATATAGGCATGGGACGGTTCGAGGCCATGGCGCGGGCGACTCTCTGGGCAAGGCAGAGAGGAAACACCAGGCTTACAGGGGGCTGGTACCTCTAGAAAGCAGTTAAGGGCGTAGAGGCCTCGAAAAAATGCTCACACACTATGCACGGCCCCAACTCGGGTTAGGTCAGGGCCAGCGGAGCCAGGAGTCAGCTGGGCATGGGCAGACATGGGTGGTCATGATTCGTGCGTGTCAAAACACCTGGGAACAAAAAACCCCAGTGCGACCTAACTCGGCCATTCTAGATGGTTCAGAGGTGAAAAACAACTGCACCGGTACGTGTACCACAGCATGCAGTCTATCCACATCACATGCAAAAGTATATACAGATGCTACAAGCCCACTCAGCAGAGAGAAGATCTATGCACAGATGCCTGGCATGGCAAGCGATGGCAAGGTGCTCCAGATCCGCGTGAGGTGTGCAGCAAGATAGTGCTCCATTCACACTCTGCGCAACCACAAAAGGTAGCTGGTACATTCAACATTTTTCCACTGCTCTTCTGTCGGCATGACTGCAGCAGTGTTGTCATCGGTCACCCAGGATCGCCATTGCCCTGCCACCGGAAAGTGCAAGAGACATCTATAGCGCCCCTGTGTAGTGGATGTGCCACTATGAAAGATGATACAAACAACATGACATGCAGTGAGAGTAATCACGTTGTTGGCACAGCGCACAGGAAAGTGGTAGACACCTCCCGCCTGGGCGCGATCAGGGTCAAACACTTTCTGAGCTCCTGCTGTGGTGTTGGCAAAGCGCCGAAGTTGCACCACAAGAAAAGCCGGCGCAGGACAGACGATGGCATGCAAGGGGAAGGATTCACGCGGCATGGACGCAAAGGTATTAGCAGCCACGGCGACTGCCTGTGTGGCCCAACGGTGAACGCAATCCTGCAAGGATTGCTCACCTGGTGCAATATCCATAGTGAGAGACATACAGCTGCCACGATCATGTACTCGATAGGTCCGATAGGTCACACCAGTGGGGCCGCGG